GGCCCAATAGGCTTGTGGCCTGGTTGCAATAAAAGGAAAAGGGAAGCTGCTGCTTGCCGCTTCACTGCCTCCTGCTTGCTTCACAATGGACTGTTTCTTATCTGTGATGCCCCTTTGCTATGCCATCTGCCTTGGAGCTAGCCAATTGTGGACTGAAACCTCTACAAACTGTGAGGTGAAATAAACCTTTCTTTAAAAAAAAAAACAAAACAAAACACTTCAGTTTGACCTGGCCTGCATGTCATTCTTTCCCACCTTCCCTGGAAACACTGTTCCTGCAATGATCACCTTTTCTACTGGTCTCTTTCCTTCTAGGCTTCACAAGATAATCAAGTCCCCCCTTGGCAAACCTTCGGACTTTATTTTCCTTTTGTTGGTGCTGGGGGTGGAACCCAGGACCTTGTGCATGCTAGGCAAGTGCTGTACCACTGAGCCACACCCTCAGTCCTACCCTTCTCTAACTACAGCCTCCATCTCTGTCCTTCCTTTCTCGGCCAACATCGCTTTACTTCTCTACCTTCCATTCACTCCTCAACCACATCGACCTTCTGCTACCACCACTTTCCTGGGTACTCTCAGTGGAAGGTCATCAGTCTTCTGAGGACACTGGCAGTGCACAGCCCCAATTCCCATGGATCCTTTTATACTGTTTGCCTGTTTTCCCCAAGACACACACACACACACCTTGTACTCCTATATTCCCTTTGATTTCTGGCTCCCTTTCCAACAGTTAGAACTTAAAAAGTTTTCATTCATGAATTTATGTATCTTGAGGAACACCCTCATCTACAGAAGGGCGGGGAGCTCCCATCTCCTAGGGCGACCAGTGCTTGCCCGGTGGCTAAGGGATGTTGCGTGTACAAAAGGCTCGGCTCCCTTGTTTCTGGATAAACCCGAGGCACAACCTACTTCCGGGCTCCTTTGTGCAATGAGGGAAGGACTCTCTCCTTGATCGCACACGCCTGCTTGGCTTCCTCTCTTCTTCTCATTCCCTTACTAGTTTCTCTCGACAGAACCCCGCTCCACACAGGGGACTGAACCCAGGGCTGCTGCTAACCAGTTTTCTGGCACTAAGCCACACCATTAGCCCAGGTTCTTTTTTTTTGGTACTGGAGATCGAACTCGGGACCTTGTACTTAAAACAGGTGGCAGAACCACTGAGCTAAGTCCCTGGCCCTAGCCCAGGTTGTAGTCTTTCTCCTTCCCCCCACCTCTAAAAAACAGGGTCTCACTATAGTTCAGGCTGGCCCTGAACTATGTAACCCAGGTTGAGCATTTTCTTAATAAGTTACTTGATCACAAATCCTCATCTTTGTGTTTCTGGGAAACATGACCCAAGATATCATTTCATCACTTTCTATTTCTCTTTCTTTGCTGGTCAAATGTTGATTTCCAGAACTAAGCCTTCTTCTCTCTGTATACACATTATTACCTGGAGAGTCTCACTCATCTCCATGAACTTAACTACTACTCACATCTGATTACCAAACTGCTTTGTACAGCTCGGAGCAAATCCGTTTTTGCTGGACAACTCCACCTAGGTGTACAAGGATCCCTCCTTCACTAATATAGAAGCCAGTGTATTAATGTTTTAACTTTTTGTTGTTTTTTTTTGGTACCAGGGATTGAACTTGGGACCCTGCGCTTGCGAGGCAGGTGGAGGCACCACTGAGCTAAATCCCTGGTCCTAATGTTTCAATTTTAGTTAATTAAAATTCCATCCAGGGATGGTGATGTAGGCTTGTAATCAGCATCCTCAGAGGCTAAGGCAGGATTCCAAGTTCGAGTCCAGCTCGTGCAGTTTAGGGGCTCAGGGAGACCTTGTAGAAAAAATAAGAAAAAAACACTGCGGAAAATCAGTATAGAGATACCTCAAAGAGCTAGGACTGGAAATCCGATTTGAGCCAGCTATTCCCCTGCTGGGTATCTTCCCCAAAGAACTGAAAGAATCATACCACAGTGATATATGTGCACCCATGTTCATAGTAGCACAATTCGTGATAGTTAAAACTTGGAAACAACCCAACTGCCCATCAACTGAAGACTGGATAAAGAAAATGTGGTTTTTAAAAAATAAAATGGAGTACTACTCAGCCATAAAGAATGAGAAACTAGAGACATTTACAGCTAAATGGATGCACATTGAGGCCATCCTCTTAAGTGAAATAAATAGGACCCACATGTGCAAATACCGAATAGTTTCTCTTGTGTGAGAAACTAAAAGTGTAAATAAGGACTAAAAGGTATAACAGATAATGTGAAATAGGAAAAAAAGGTGCAAAGGAGAAGGGGAAGTGGGAGAGGTAGGGTAAAAGAAAGAAGGGAATGGAATTAATAAGAGAAAAAGAAAAAAATGGAAACAAAGTCTTTGCAGATAGGGAGGGGTGAAGGGGTTGAAGGGAGGGCAGGGGAATGGGGAAAAAATAAGAACCAAGATGGATTACGTAAAGATGCAAATTTCCAATGATGAATGCCATTATATTGTATACCTTAAATGTACAAATAAAATTAATTTTATTTATTTATTTTTTTGGTACCGGGGATGGAACTCGGATCCTTGTGCTTGCGCGGCAGGCAGTGAAACCACTGAGCTAAATCCCCGGCCCAATAAAATTAATTTTAAAAGAAAATAAGAAAAGGGCTAGAGATATAGTCCAGCCCCTGCCCCCAGCACACACACACACACACACACACACACACACACACACACACACAAAATTCCTTCGTCATACCAATCACTTTTTTTCAGTACTGGGGACTGAACCCAGGACCTTCACACTGAGCAACATCTGCAGGCCTTTTCAGGGTTTTTTCCCCAGCCCTTTTTAGTGAGACAGGATCTCACAAGTTGCTTGTGTGTTAAGCTGGGCTCAAACTTACAAGCCTTTTGCCTCAGCCTCCCAGGATGCTGGATGACAGGTGTGCACCAGCGCGGCCAGCTTCACCAGCCACATTGCAAGCATTTAACAGCCATGTGTGGCCAATAGCTACACTGGGCAATGCTGATATGGAATATGTATTTCCGTCATCTCAGAACATTTTATTGGCCACTGCTAGGCGAGTGTTGTGCCACTGAGTTACACCTCCATCATGCCACAGAAAGTTTTATTGGACAGTTTAGTTACACCCGCAAACCTAACTCAACAACAGACCATTGCCTTTCTACATTTTTCAACTGTGTTCCCCTAGATGGACAGACTAGCAGCAGAGAAAGGGTGTATAAGGGAATGGGAGGGTAGACCATAGGAATGGGGTCCCTTTCATTAACATCCTCTGAAGTGGAAAGAGGGGAAAAGATGGTGATGAAGACCGTAACAGAGGCCATCTGTGAACTGATGTTAGTTTGGTTAGAGCTGGGGGACTGAGGACTGGCTAGCCCCAAACTCCATCTGGCAGCCTCAGTCTCAGTCTCAGCCTCGAACATATCCTCTTATGTGACCCAGAGCATGTCCATCTCCATCTGCTGGGTCACTTGGTTCACCGGTGTCAGTTCTAAAAACGTCACTGACAACGTCAGTAAAGGGACATTCTCTGATCAAGTTTCTAAGCTATTAGGATTTAAGTCTGGAAATAATGGAAAGCTATTTTGCCACCAACAGAGGAAAGCCTGCCTGAGTGAAGCCAAATGCGTGGGCAAAGCAGAACTAGAGATCATGAAGCACGGGTTCCTGGTATGTTTTGGCCCCTGTGTTCAGCGGATCCTCGCCCACTGTGGACTTTTCAATACCTGAGTCACAGGTTTCCTTATTGTTTAGGTTAGCCAGAGTCGAGTCAATGAGAGGATCTTGGGCACATGATTTCAAGTACCCTCTGTAGAAATGGCCCTTGGTTCCTCTAATTGGCCTCGATACCTTTCTTGAGTTCCAAGTTGTATGTCTACGTACCTCTTGAGGCCACAAGCGCTCATTACTGACCTCATTATTTCTGCGCTCCCCCATACTGATTTCCCGTCACAGAGATGGAATCCCCGCCACCGCCTGCCCCTTTCCTCGGCGAAGCCAAGGTCTTAAATTCAGGCCTCAGCTCCTCGCAGGTCCTCCCCAAGGTCACCCCCCCTTCTTTCCCCGCCCGGTTCCTTGGGGGCGGTGCCCACGTCCCCCTCAGGCGCCAGGCCAGGCGCTCTAGGCTGCGGCGCGGCCTCCGCCGAACCTTATCTCGCTGGTTTCCGGCGCTCGGCGGCTACTCTAGCCTTCCACAGGGACCGGGGACTCTATCCCGGACAGATAGCGAATTCTCTACGGTTGGCTTCTCCACTTCGTCCCGAATTTCTCCGAGAGGACGTTCTGGTGGGACCCAATTCCTTCCCACCGCTGACTCTGTGGCCCCTCTTAGGCGCACAGGGAGAAGTCATTGAAGCCCTAGGAGATTCACCCTCTTAGTCCCTGAAGGGTCTGCGCCGAGTAGGAGGATGGCGGAAGTGAGTACGAAGATGCCCTTCCTTCTCGCCGCTCTTCTCTATGGTTGCTTCCCTCGGCGACGGGAAAAGAAAGTCCCCGCGCCTGCGCAGAGCGGGCCTGGGAGCTCGTCGGGGAGGGGGAGGGGCGCAGGGAGCGGGAGCCGCCGCCGCCGCCGGAGCTAACCGCGGGGACCGAGATGCAGGTGGGACCGGAACCGGAACCCCCCTCTTCAAGTGCCTCTTCCCTCTCCGCGACCCGGCCCGGCGCCTGCGAGGAGCCCCGGGTGGGGGTGGGGGTGGGCGTGGGGCCCCCGAGCAGGAGGGGCACTTGGCCCTGCAGAGTGCGGCGGACAGGGCTGGTCCCCAGGAGACTGCAGCCCCGGGAGTGGGCGCGTGGGGGGTGTCCCGCAAGTAGGGTCGGGTCGGAGTGGCTTGACCACGGGCCCAGAGGGTCCGAGCCAGGAGAGGAGCCTGCACCCTCCACCACCTGCCCTTCGGGAAATGTCAGAACCGAGCCAAGAGGCAGGTGCACCGGGAAAATGTATCTGAGCAGAAGAGAAACTGAGTCACCACCTCAGGAGCTGCAGGGTCAGGGGGCCTGGAGGGGGCTGGGTGGGCCTGTGTGAGCCGAGGTGGCTTCTGGCTGGGGATCGTCTCTGCTGTCTGCACCTCTTGGCTCGGTTCCCCTCAGCTCCATGACTCCCGCATCTCCTGGCTGCATCTGTGGGTTCGGAGTTGTCCTTAGGGGTTGAGGCCATCTGAGTGTGTAGGGCTGAGGCCGAGAAAGAAAGGGAGGTTTCCCTGGCTTACAGCCTGACTGCTGTTTGAGTGGGAGTCTAGGGGCGCTGATGGTTTGGAGAGACTTTTCTGAGCTACCTGCACCCCAGTCCGGGGCCTTGGCCTCCAGGAGAACTAGCCAAAGAGCTTTGGGTTGTAAATTCCACACCCAGCTCTCTGTCTCTAGCCAGTTGAAACCTTTCTTTCTCTAATTGCTCTTTTAGAAAATTGGAACTCTGATACTATCCTCCTCCATAAAGATAGTAACAATGGCAGTCATTTCTCTTGTCCTTACTTTGTGTCAAGCACTGACACGTTTCATTCCATTTCATTCTCCCAACAACTGGGTGGGGGGGAGAATGTCATTAGCTCTGTTTTACAGATAGGAAATCTGGGCCTCAAAGACAATGTGTGAACTTTCAAGATCACAGCTGATAGGTGAAGTCAGTCCAAGTCTGACTCCAGTACCTGTGGCCACCGTACCAACCAGCCTTTAGGGCACCCTCCCCAGAGACAGAAAAAGGAGGAGGAAAATCCTCAGCTCCCTGTCAGTTTTTATTTCTGTCATGGCTAGCAAAGACTTGCTCTGACCCAGCCCAGCATCTCTTTGCCTTATGTGGTGCTGCCACTGGGCCCCAGACTGAAGGGGGCACCCAAGAAGCGGGCTGTGTCCATTCCAAGTCACCTTGACACAGAGTGTGGGTGCTGGGCTGAGCAGTCAGCTTCTCAGACAGTTGCTGTTTCTGTCCACCTCCCATCCATTGGCCTGAATGAACAAACTCTGCTGCTGGGGCCCCCAGAGTCAGGGCAGTGAGGAGTTGTGGCTGAGATGGGTCCAGCCAGTCCCTGGGGACGAGGACTGTACAGTGCGAAGGACAGTAGGCTGGGAGTTCTGAAACTTGTCTGACCTTCAGTTTCCTCATCTGATAGAAAGGTTATTAAATCCTCTCGCTAGGAAAGGTAAGATGACCCCTGGAAGCCTCTCAGATGGCACAGGAGAAGTGTGTGACAGGCAGAGAGGATCTGCCTTGGAGGAGGAGAATGGCGGCTGGAAGAGCCCCGTGTGGAGGAAGGTGCCCGCAGGACCTCTTGCTCCTGGAGAGCTGCAGACTAGGCACGGGGGACACTTCTGAGTGCCTGGGTGTGTGGATCTGGGAGTGGGAACAGAGGCAGTTTGGTTCTCTTCTCCTCTCTGAGGTCTGGACCAGAGTAGGGAGTCCCTGGCTTGGGGTGGGATGCGCTCCCAGTCCCGCCTCTGCAGTGACTCTGTGTGTGCCTCTCTCTTCCTTCTGCAGCTGCTGCCACTCACCCCGTGTCTTCTGGCCGCTTCCCTCTTTGCTGCCCCTCCCCACAGGCTCTCCCTCTCCACCTCCTGGGGCCCATCATGAATGGTACCCCTTCCCCAGAGGATGGGGCCTCCCCCTCCCCCCCTCCCCCGAGTTGGCGGGAGTTCTGCGAGTCCCATGCCAGGGCTGCTGCCCTGGATTTCGCCCGTCGTTTTCGCCTCTACCTGGCCTCCCACCCCCAGTACGCAGGGCCTGGGGCTGAGGCTGCCTTCTCCCGCCGGTTTGCTGAGCTCTTCCTGCAGCACTTTGAAGCTGAGGTGGCCCGGGCCTCTGGCTCCCTCTCACCGACATCCATCTTGGCTCCCCTGAGTCCTGGTGTGGAGGTCCTGCCACCTCATGACCTGGCCCTTGAGAGCTGCAGGGTGGGAGGGCCTCTGGCTGTGCTGGGCCCTTCTCCATCCTCTGAGGACCTGGCCGGCCCCCTGCCATCCTCCGTCTCTTCCTCAACGACCTCCTCGAAGCCGAAGCTCAAGAAACGCTTTTCCCTCCGCTCAGTGGGTCGCTCTGTCCGAGGTTCAGTGCGAGGCATCCTGCAGTGGCGGGGGGCTGTCGACCCTCCATCCCCAGCTGGGCCCCTGGAGACCTCTTCAGCCCCCCCAGTCCTAGGTGGAAACAGCAACTCCAACTCCTCTGGTGGAGCTGGGACTCTTGGTAGGGGACTGGTCAGTGACGGCACGTCCCCCGGGGAGCGATGGACTCACCGATTTGAGAGGCTGAGACTAAGTCGGGGTGGGGGGACCTTGAAGGACGGATCAGGGATGGTGCAGAGGGAGGAGCTGCTGAGTTTTATGGGGGCCGAAGAGGCTGCCCCTGACCCAGCTGGAGTGGGCCGGGGAGGAGGGCAGTCTCAGTGGCAGAAGTGTCGCTTACTGCTGCGAAGTGAGGGAGAAGGAGGAGGAGGAAGCCGCCTGGAGTTCTTCGTGCCACCCAAGGTGAGTCGTGGAGGAGGGTGAGGGGCTGGCCGGAGTGGTGACAGGCCTGTGGACCAGCCTCAGGCTTTGCCTGCCATGAAGCCTGGCTGGCTTTGCTTTTAGGTCTGGGCCTGGGTTCTTGAATTAGCTGTGGGCAGGACCAAGAGCAGTGTGGCCTTCTGCTGACCCGTGGGACACAGGAGGGGTGGTGAATGAGGGGAGGGCGAGGTGTGTCCGTGCCCCAGCAGCCGGAGCTTGTTCGTGCTCCGCCTTAGGCGTCCCGGCCCCGGCTCAGCATCCCCTGCTCCGCTATCATGGATGTTCGGACAACCACAGCCCTGGAGATGCCGGACCGGGAGAACACGTTTGTGGTTAAGGTAGGAGCTCAGCACGCCAAAGCAGGGGTTGTGGGGCGGAGGCGGTGGTGCCCATGTCGCGTGCCTTGAGCATGTGTCTGCTGGCCCATAGGTGGAAGGCCCCTCGGAGTACATCCTGGAGACAGCTGACGCTGCCCACGTGAAGGCCTGGGTGTCCGACATCCAAGAGTGCCTGAGCCCAGGGTGAGGAGCCACCTTCTGACCGAGGGGCTGGGGCAAGGTGGACAGCAGCCCGGTGCCTCTCCTGTGACCTTCTCCCCGGCACTGTTTGCTTTGTCCCTGCAGACCCTGCCCCGCTACCAGCCCCCGCCCCATGACCCTCCCTCTGGCCCCCAGCACCTCCTTCCTCACAAAGGAGAACACGGACAGCCTGGAGCCCCCTTGCCTGAATCACTCGGAGAGTCTGCCGAGTCAGGACCTGCTACTGGGGCCCAGCGAGAGCAACGACCGCCTGTCCCAGGGTAAGGCAGTAGGTCAGAGCTCACCATTCAAGGCTCTTGCGTCGGGTCCCCCATTCTGTTCCCACTGCTTGGCTTGTGTCCGAACGTGCCAGGCACTTGGACCACTGTTTGCCTTTTTATATTTCTTTAGTCATTTAATTCTGCAGAGCTGGGGCTGAAGCCACAGGCTCCCACGCCTAGGTGAGGCCTTAGCACTGAGCAGCATCGTCAGCCCCAGTTTCCCCGTTAGAACCATCGCCATCCACACCAGTCCCAGGCGAACTCCTGTCTGCCCTTCTTGCCTGGCCTTGTCACTTCCATAAGTGTCCCGCAGGCCCCACTCTGGCAGGAGATGGCGGTTCTCTTCTCCAAGCACCCAGAGCTCTTTGGCGACGTCTTTGTTCTTGCTCTGTATCTGCACATGTCAAGGGCATCACACTCTCTTGGGCCAAATTTGCACTTTTTCGGCTGACCCAACACATGACACATGTGAGTGCCTGGCCACCTCTCTAGACTCAGCTTCCACTCTGTCCTCTCCTCCCGGCCTGAGTCTCATCTTCCCAGGGCCTAGTGTGTAGCCCAGCACACAGGCTGTACACGGTGGGTGGATAAGGAATCTCAGAGTCACACTAGAACAGAGCTTACGTATCATCACGTGTCATTGGGTTTCAAACAGCCCGGACAGGGACAGGAAGGGTTTCTCTGCAGTCACCCGAGTCTCCGAGAAGCGGGCTGTGCCAGCCTCTCCCTAAGCTGCTGCCCTCCACTCACATATCTCTGAGCCCTGTAGATGCTGTCTGGGTGGGCCCCACTTGCTGCCTGGCACACGAGCAGGCAGGGCCGTGTGTCACCGGCCCTGTGACTCGGGTGCCTGGGGTGGCAAGATGTCGTTCCCATGGACAGCTGGCCCCCAGGGGCAGCCTGTGCTCGGTGCCCTCTGAACGGCTCAGGCAGGAAGCACCCTGAGAGCTCGGGAGGAAGCCAGCAGGGGAAGGAGGAACAGAGCGGTGCAGAGGAGGGAAGAGAAAACGTGGCTTGAGGCGGCAAAAGGCCAGCACAGGACCTGAGGTGCGGAGGACCCAGGATCCTTGGGAAAACACTAAGATAAATGAGCCACAGGAAAAACTACATGGGTACAAGTTAAGTAAAGGTCAAGTTGGTTTAGTTTAGAGGGGATCAATCAGAGGGTTTGTGTTTTTTGGTTGCCTCTTAGAATTGAGAGCTTTTAAATCAGGCATGGCATACATCTGCAATACAAGCTCTCTGGAGGCTGAGGCAGGAGGATCACTAAACAGTGAGGGCTACTTAGTGAATTCAAGATCAGCCTGAGCTACACATTGAGATCCTGTCTCAAAAAACAAGCAAACAAAAAAACTTCGAACTCAGGACCTTGCTCTTGCAAGGCAGGTGGGGCACCACTGAGCTAAATCCTCGGCCCTCTCCTTTGTATTTTTTGAGACAAGAGTTTCTCGCTAAGTTGCCCAGGCTGGGATCAAACTTGGGGCCCTTGGGACCCTCCTGAGTAGCTGGGGTTATAGGGATATGCTACTACTCCTGACTTGGACTCTTTTTTGTCTTTTTGAGACAGGGTTTTGCTGTGCAGTTCAGGCTGGCCTTGAACTTACTATGTAGCCCAGACTGGCCTCAAACTCACAGTGACCCTCCTGCCTCAGCCTCCTGAGTGCTGGGATTATGGGCATGCACCACCATGCCATCTACTCAGTTTTTGGTGTTTTTTTTTCTGGACTTTTTAAATGTGAGACTATTTGAGGGATTCTACTCCTTCCCCACCTCTGTAGCAGTTTTTCAGTTGTTGATTCCTAAAAAACATAGGCACGTTGGGGTTCTGGGATGTGCCGTACACACAGTGTAGTGTCATTTTGGCCGTAGGCAGAACTGTCAGGTCTCTGTCCTCCTGGGGGTCCAGGACTTGGCCATGCAGGTGGACTGCTGGTGGGAAGGCAGGCAGGAGGCCAAGGCCTTGGGTGAGGAACCCAAGTTTCAGCTTAGCTCTCCGTTTCTTTTTTTGCAGTACTGGGGATCAAACTCAGGTGCCACTGAGCTAAATCCTGGCCCTGCTGTGTTTCTTTCCAGGGGCGTATGGGGGCCTGTCCGAGCGGCCCTCTGCATCCATTTCCCCCAGCTCGGCCTCCATCGCAGCCTCCCATTTCGACTCAATGGAACTGCTTCCCCCAGAGCTGCCCCCCCGAATCCCCATTGAGGAGGGCCCCCCGGCAGGCACAGTTCATCCTCTCTCGACCCCCTATCCTCCTCTGGACACCCCGGAGACAGCCACAGGTACCAGGGACTACACATCTGTGCCTAGCCAGTGCCCGACTCCTGAGGGGCCCGACCCAGGGAGGGACTGAGACTGATCCACGGAGGTGCCTGGCGAGGGAGAGGAAGGCTGTTTCTCCTAGGTCCTGGCAGGCCCCCCTGACGTCTGGTTTCCCTCTCTCCTTCCCGAAGGGTCCTTCCTGTTCCAGGAGTCGGAAGGCGGGGAGGGGGACCAGCCCCTCTCGGGGTACCCGTGGTTCCACGGCATGTTGTCTCGACTCAAGGCCGCCCAGTTAGTGCTGGAAGGAGGCACCAGCTCCCACGGGGTCTTCCTGGTTCGGCAGAGCGAGACGAGGAGGGGCGAATATGTCCTCACTTTCAATTTCCAGGGCAAGGCCAAGGTGAGCGAGCCTGTGGGTACAGAGGGCAGGCGGCCTGCAGGGGGGTTGTGGCCGGCAGGGCGCAGCCCTCGCCTCACTGCTCATCCTGCCCTCAGCACCTGCGCTTGTCACTGAACGAGGAGGGTCAGTGCCGGGTCCAGCACCTGTGGTTCCAGTCCATTTTTGATATGCTCGAGCATTTCCGGGTGCACCCCATCCCTCTGGAGTCTGGAGGCTCCAGTGACGTTGTCCTTGTCAGCTATGTGCCCTCCCAGCGGCAGCAGGGTGAGCAGAGCAGGTCTGCAGGGGAGGTGCCCGTGCACCCAAGAAGTGAGGTGTGTGTGCCAGAAAGACGGGGGCTCTGGGGCGCGTGGGGCAGCTGAGGCCCCTTTCCTGAGGGGTCTGCGCGGGGCGAGAAGGCTGCTAGGACGCAGACAGGCAGAGGCTCCTTGAGGGCCGGGGGCAGTGAAGAGCTGGGCTAACGCATCCCCATTCCATCACCACCTCCGTCCGTCCGTCCGTCCATCCATGCCATCGTCTGTGTGTCCCTGGTTCCACCCTCCCGGCTTGTCTCTGCCCTTCACCACCTTGCCTGGGGCCCGCCCTTCTGGGGGGATGCTTGGTCTGCCCCCCATGCCTGATGTCCCTGTCTGATCTCTCCCTCTCCCCGCCCCACGCCCCACCTGTCCCCACGTTGCCCCCCCAGGCTGGGAGCAGGCTGGGAGCCATGCAGGGGTGTGCGAGGGAGATCGATGCTACCCCGATGCCTCCTCCACCCTCGTGCCCTGCGGAGCGAGTGACTGTGTGTAAGTGCCGTCCTCCCTGGTCCTCCCTCACCGCCGCCCACGATCCATCCTCCATGGGGGTTGCTCAGGAAATGGGCTGGCTCCAGGGGGGACCCTGCCTCCCTCCACCTCAGTCTGTCTTCTTCCCATTCCTGTCCAGAATCGAACACCTTCCATGACCCACCCCAGCCCCCTGAACCCCCTTCATGGACAGATCCCCCACATCCTGGGGCAGAAGAGGCGTTGGGGGCGCCAGAAGTGGCGGCAGCTGCGGCAGCCAAAGAGAGGCAAGAGAAAGAGAAAGCGGGCAGTGGAGGGGTCCCGGAAGAGCTGGTCCCCATGGCTGAGCTGGTCCCCGTGGTTAAATTGGAAGAGGCCGTAGCGCCAGGCACAGAGGGCCAGGGCGGCGCTGGCCCTGGTGGGGACTCAGGGGTGACCCTGATGGTACAGCTCCAGCAGTTACCACCAGGGGGCAACGGCGAAGGGGGCCGTCCCAGAGCCATTAATAACCAGTACTCCTTTGTTCGAGATGCCCCACCCTGCCCTGCGCCCTCTTCCTGCTCCCCAGCCCTGGTTCCTGAGAGGGGGCCCAGGAGGGACACAGAGGAGAGGTGGGGCCCCGCACTCTTCCTGACCCGACAGCCGAGGGCGGGCATGTACAGTGTGGGTACCAGCCGGTCCAGGCCCCGCTAACTCCCTGACTACGCTGCAGGTGCCCCTGCCCCAGGCAGGGGTTTGGGCTCCATTACCTCCCTGAGGGGCTCTTCCAGCCAGCCCCACCTCTGGGGCCATTTCCCCCGAACCACCCCACTCGCCAAAGCAAGGGTGAGGGGAAGGGCTGTCAGTTACGTTAAGGTGGTTGTTGTTGTTGTTTTAAACAAAATGGAGAAGCATAAACAAATAAAGGGGTTTATCTCAGTTCCAAGGTGATGGCTGTGGCTGTGCTTGCAACAGGGCCTGGGGGGGCCGGTCCATGCAGTGAGGCCCAGAGCCAAGGCCAGCATCCAGGGCCTTTCTGGCTCCGATTGAGAAGTGGGATTCAACAGTGCTTCCTGAGGCCTCCAGCAGTTTCTCTTAATTGGCTGGACGGTGACAGGACTGATGACTGCCAGGCGTCCTTCCTGCTCTGAATTCTTGACTTAGGCTCCTACCTAGGAGAAAGGCAGAGATGGCGGGGAGACCTGTGTCTTCCGTCGGGATTTGATGTGTTGATCAGACTGGCTGTCCCCCTCCCTCAGAGCCACACTGGAGACTAGATGTCACCACTAAGCCTGATCTCTAGGCCTGGCTTTGCCTGTTACCTATGCCGTGTCAGCTGGGGACCAGCTGGGGACAAGGCTTGGCCATTCTGGCCTTAGTGTCCTCACTTGTAAAATGGCAAGTTTCATCTTAGAGCTGCAAAAATGATTTGCTTGGCCTGGACACTTTCCCTTGGAGTTTCATGTAAATGTCCAGCCCAGGTTACTGCCCCACTTGAAAGCCAGCCGAGCAGCTGTAGGCATCCGGCATCCCCATCACTATAAACCTCTGCCCACGCTGGGCTGTCCTCCTCCTGGAGCACAGCCCTGTGTCCCAGCTCCGGGCCAGCAGGTGCAGCAGATGGCCAGGGTCTGAAGAGTCCCCTGTGTGCTCGGCCCTTGCCCTCCCACCTGTGCCTCTCGCTGTTGCCCTCCTGCCCCCCAGCCTCTGCCCCTGCTCCAGGAGGCCCTGCCCATACTCATGACCTTGCTATTCTGGGCCTTGCGTCCGTCCTCGGGGAGATGGACAAGAGACAGCTGGGCACACGGGGCTCCCAAGCTGGGGGCTGGCTGGGGAAGCCTGTTGGCACCACCTGCTCACCCCTGGGGGCTCCCCTGAAACTCGGCCTCAGGAGCCTGGGGACGGAATCGGCCCTGCAGAGGGCTGGGTGCTGTGTTCTCAAAGTGGGCAGCAGGGGCTGTGGCACCCAGGGTAGGCAGGGTCTGATCCTCTCCTAATCTAGCGGTAGCTGGTGCTAAGGCTCCTCCTTACCCCAGAGCCTGCTGGCCTTCAGGGACTTGGCTTCCAGAGATGGGGAGGGGACCAGCACAAGGACACCCACCCACTCCCGGACTGGCCTGTCTGCGGGAGGACACTGGGACGATTCTCACCAAGTGTGTGTTTACTGACGGTTAAACAGAAGTTTGGAACTGGTCAGCCACAGCCAGGTCTACTACCTGTCCTTCATAGCTGGGATTCCAGTCCCTCGTCTCCAGCCTACAGGCGAGAGGAAGATGCCTTCAGCCTGGGGTGAGACCCCCCCCCAGGGGGGAAGGGGTCCATCCTAAGCAGCACCTCAGCGCCCCCACCCCCTGATGTGAGCCTTCTCTGCTCCCTGGCTTCAGTCTGCCCCTCTGGGAAGCCGGAGGTGGCAGAAATGAATAACCTGAAAGGGCCCCGCTGGCAGGAGTGCCCTGTAAAGCTTGCCTCCTTCCCTCTGCTCATGCTCCGCTCCCCGAAGCTGCCCATCTTCGGCTCCCCTCCATGTTTGGGCATTCCTCCTGCTGTAAGACAGAGGCCCTGTCACTCCTCCAGGTGCCACTGGAGAGAAGCCAGCCAGTGCCAAAGGCTCAGAGGGTGCTGAGCCTGACGCTGGCCCAGAAGGTGGGTGCTGGGCCAGTGCAGGCACCTGCTGATGTGACCCCTGACACACCCCATTGTCTGCACCCCCCACCCTAGGTCACAGCAGGACTTTGCTTCAGGGGAGGGGTTGTCAGAACTATGAGAAGGGGGAGGGAAGGACACCGTGTCCTGACCTCACCCAGGCTGTCCCTCGCCTAAGTCCAGGCAGAAGGTGCGACTGGGAGGCCAAGTCCTCCAGCTCCGTCCCCCTCCCCAGAGCCAGGCTCCTCTTGGACCTGCCTCTGCCAGCTCTGTGCTGCGCTCTGCCTGGGGCCGGAGCCCTCAGGCCAGCGCAGTGGCACTCACCTCTAGTCCTAGCCACCTGGAGGCCGAGGTAGGGCGATGGCAAGTTTGAGCCCAGCTTGGGCGATGTAGCAAAACAGTCTCAAAATAAAATAAAGAAGGCTGAGGATGGAGCTCAGTGCTCCCTGGGTTCAATCTCCAATACTGCCAAGTTAATTAATTGAAAGAAAGAGGGGAGGTAAGAGAGAGACAGAGAGAGAGACAGAGAGAGAAGGGAGGGAAAGAGAGCCAGGCATGGTGGCAGAGCCCTGTAATCCCAGCACTGTGGGAGGCTGAGGCAGGATTGCAAGTTCTGCCCAGCCTGGGCAACTTGGTGACTTACCAAGACTCTATCTGAAGATAAAAAATAGCTGGGCTTGGTGGTGCACACCTGTAACTCCCAGCAGGAAGATCACTGTGAGTTGGAGACCAGCTTGGACATATAAGGAGTAAAAGTCCAGCGTGAACTGCATAGCCAGACCCTGTCTCAAAAAATAAAAAGGGGGCTGGGGATTTAGCTCAGTGGTTCCGGCGCCTGCCACGCAAGCACAAGGTCTGGAGTTCGATCCCCAGTACCAAAAAAAAAAAAAAAGGGAATTGGAGAAGCAGCTCAATGCAAAGGTCCTGGATTCAATCTCCAGCACTACACACACAGTCAAAACCAAAAATACAAATATTTTTAAGAAATTTTTTAAACTGAGGCCTGGTGTGGTGGAACATGTCTGTAATCCCAGCACTTGGGAGGCTGAGGCAGGAGGATCACTGGAGTTCAAGGCTACATAGTTGATGGCTCCTCTGAACTACATGGCAAGGCCCTGTCTAAAAAAAAAAATGCTTTTTGGGGTGGGGATTTAGCTCAGTGGCACTGAGCCTGCCTTGCAAGCCTCACAAGCCTTGAAAGAGCAAGGTCCTGAGTTTGATCCCCAGTACCAAAAATAAAAAAAGTTTTTTAATATGGGCATAGTGGCACACACCTATAATCTCAGAACTCAGGAGACTGAGGCAGGAGGACTGCCACTAGTTCCAGGCCAGCCTATACTACAAAGCCAGACCCTGTCTCAAAAAAAAAAAAAAAAAAACCCAAAGGGGCCAGGGATTTAGCTCAGCAGTTCTGCTGCCTGCCTCAAAAGCCCAAGGTTCTGAGTTCCATCCCCAGTACCAAAAAAAAATTTTTTAGGGGCCAGGGATTTAGCTCAGTGGTTTCACTACCCTGCTGCGCAAGCAAAAGGACCCGAGTTCGATCCCCAGTACCCAAAAAAAAAAATTTTTTTTTTTAAAGTTGGGGATGTAGGGCTGGGGATTTAGCTCAGTGGTTCCACTGCCTGCCTGGCAAGCACAAGGTCCTGAGTTCGATCCCCAGGTACCAAAAAAAAAAAAAAGTTGGGGATGTAGCTTAGCAATGATAGAAGCCTTACCTAGCATGCACAAGGCCCTCTGCTCATTAGCCAGTACTGCAAAAATAAGAACCCTCTCAGTCTTCCCTATAACCATTTCTTGCAGGAAGCCGAGGAAGGACTTGAGCTCAGGGTCATAGGCTCCTTGGCCTCACATCAGTGTTGCCTCCTTGCCTGCCTGCATGCACCCCAGTGCCCTGTCCATTCCTCCAGCAGCTGCCCTGGTGGAAACCAAAAGTTGCCCACCCTGGAGCAGGGTGGGGAAGGGCGGCTCAGAGCAGCTGCTTCTCCCAGGAAGCTGACACCAAGGCCGGCTGCTCTGCAACAACTTGTGGCTTTGCACCCAGCCCGGGGTCCCCGCCCACCTGGCTGCCACTAGCCAGCTCCCCACTGTCCCTTTTTCCCATTGCTCCTCAGACTTTCCTGACCCTAGCGGCCGTTTCTGTGCTCACCCTCCCCCCAGCTCTGTTGTGTCCTCATTCCCCCCCAAATCCGCCTCTCCCCTCTGGGGCCTCTGCTGTACTCAGCTTCCTCAGGTGGGCTTGCCCTTCCCTTCCACCTCCTTCAGTGGGGCACCCCAGTTCTGAGCATACCCCCGGGTCTGGTCCTCATTCTCTCTTGAGGGTGGCTGCATCAGCCCTGGAGAGTGAAGACCACACACCTCTGGGGTCCACCACACAAACCCGTAGTGCGGTGTGAAATGAGGCGACCCTCATGCCATGACTTGGGGTGACTCCCTACCCCCTTCTTGAAACAGTTATCCCCCCCTCTGCCATCAGCACATTCTGTAGCCTCTTGGGTTACCTGGCTGCCTGGGTGCCCCATTTTCTTGGGGGGATTCCCTGTCAGGAATGGGGAGGCTGTCGGCTGTGTTCCCAGAGGCTGAGCTGGAGCAGTCAGGAGGGGGCGGTTTAGGGGAGAGCCAGGCAGTCCTGGCTTTGCACACCAGGGCCTGGACACTAAATCCCTTGTTGATGGCTGCAGCAACCCCTCCCTAGGGTAGGGTTACCATCTTCTGCCCTGTCCCCTTGACCCTCTCCCTGCCCTACTTCCCCTTGTCCCTCTAGAGATACTTCCTCTGGCCCCCAAAAGATGTTCTCCCGACTTGGGTCCCCCAAAGGCAGGGAGGATCTCTGTTGCTCTTCCAGCACGGTACATGAGGGCGGAGACTGTGGTGATGGAAACGGGTTCAGGGTGGAAGGGACATGAAGGGGGTGTGAGAGAAACAAAGCTGAGGCCCAAGTGGAACAGCGTGTAAGGGAAGAGCTGCGGGGAGGAGTTTGGAATGAGAAATTCAGCAAAATGGGGGAAGTCTGGCCATCTGGGGGAGGTGACAGAAAGTGAATTCTCCCCCCCGCCCGGGGCTGGGGCCACCTTTGCTTCCCTCATGAGTGACATCTCAGGCTGCAGCCCCACTGTTCCCCTCTGTCAGCAGAAATATCTCTCTCTTCTGATCCCTTCTGCTGGAGTCTCAGCCAGCCAATCCCTGATCTGGGGGAGGGGGGAGCCTGGGCCCCCACTCCCTCATAAGGACCAGCTGGGGGCTGGAGGGTGGCCGGCTGCTACAAGTGGGACGGGGGTCAAAGCTCTGTGGAGGGAAGAGAAACCTGGGGGGGCACACGAGAAAAAGGGCAGAAACCCAGACCAACAGGCAGGTGGACACACTAAGGCCCCCCACAAGTGAGAGCCCCCCCCCCGAAAGAACACACTGCCCCTGGCCCCCAAGAAGGGAGCACAATGGAGGCTGCACATGCCAAGACCACAGAGGAGTGTCTAGCCTATTTTGGGGTGAACGAGACCACAGGCCTCACCCCGGACCAAGTTAAGCGGCATCTGGAGAAATACGGCCCCAATGGTAAGTGTTCCTCAGAGGAGACTGGTACCCCTTTCCCGTGCCTACACGTAAGTGTATACGTACACACGTGTACACACACACACTCCCTCCAGGGTATCTTAGGGCCCTGGTCCATGGCTGCTGGGGAGAGAAGGGGAGGTTTAGGGATCACCTTGATGAACCTGATGCCCTTTGGTAGTGATTCTCTTACCTTAGCCATAAAGTCCTGGGGGTGGGGGGCATGAAGCTGAACCCCGATTGAAATGTCGTTTTCTTCTTTTTCTCTGGGTAGAGCTCCCCGCTGAGGAAGGTAAGTTACTGGAACCCCGGCGCCCTCATAAATGACCCTCCCTTCCTTGTCCTACGGTCTTCTCCTCAGAGATCCCGTACCCCTTCCCAAGGGCAAATGTCCCTCCTCAAAGATTAGAATCCACAGGGCAGAAGACTCCAGGCGCTCTCTCCTTGAGGCGTCCTAGCCTTGAACGACTGCCCACAGCTCCGAGGAACCTGCTTCTGGACTCCTGGCCGCTCCCAGCCCCTCCCTCATACCAAGCTGCCCGCGTGGCTCCCTAGGGATCTGGGGCACTCCAGACCCTGGACCCCACCCGGTGCACAGAGCCCCGATCTTGATCCTCAGTCCTAACCCCGGGGACCCGCCCTCGCTTCTGCCCCCAGGGAAGTCCCTGTGGGAGTTGGTGGTGGAGCAGTTTGAAGACCTCCTGGTGCGAATCCTTCTCCTGGCCGCCTGCATCTCCTTTGTGAGTGTGACAGGGCACTGAGGGCTGGCTGGGGTGGTTGGGTGGGGGATCAGGAGTCCGCGCCGGCGGAAAGCGGGGCTCCTGGTCCCGCATCCTACAGTCCAAGCCCTGCGCATCCCATCTTCCAGGCCCGAGCTGGGCGCTGTAGGGCGGGCTCGCGTCCTCTGTCCTCCCTCACAGTCCGCAGGCGGGTTTTATTTTAAGATTTAAGGGCGTTCTCGGCCAAAACACTGAAGCTAAGCCACCCTCGAAGCTTCAAGAGCTCCGAGGGTTCGGGTTACCCCCCAGACGACGCGCCCCGGGCTCCGGGATACACGCCCCGCAGCTCCACGGCCCGGCTGCTCCCGGCGAGCCCCGCGCCGCGCCGCCAATCCCCGCGCGCCGCTGACGCCGATTGGGCGCTGATTGGGCGAGGGAAAGGCTCGCGCAGACAGGCGGGAAAGCGCCGATCGAGCGAGCTTGGCTGCACGGGCGCCCGTGGCTCCGCCCTTCGCCCCGTCGCCTTCGCCTTCGTATCCCGGCTTCCTCTCCGCGCGCCAGCCTGTCTTGACCCTACCTGCTCTCCGCCTCCCCCGACCCCTCGCACCCTGGGAGCTTCCTCCCGGTCTGGCCGCTTCTGCCCTGGGACCTGCCCTGGAGCTGGGGCTCCTTGCCACCCCGTCATCCCAGCAGCCCATCTATATTTCAGAATTTCTTTTAACGCCTTTGTGCTACTGGAAGACAAGACCCTGGAGGCAAAAAATAATCCTGGTCCCTTGGTCTCCTTCCTGCAGGCCCTGTCCACCTGTGAGCGCAGGCTGGCAGGGCCTCCCTTCTCCCTTCTCAGATTTGCTCCTTGACATTTGCCTTTGGCTGTTGCCTGGCGGTGGCAACAGCTGGGGCGGGGTGTGTACGGAGCCGTAACCCTATCCCGGCTCCTGCTCCCTTGTGAAATTGGAGCTTCCCCGCCTGGGCTGTGGGGGAGGGCCGTGGGCGGCCGGGCGCCGGCTCTGGGGACCACAGGGTGCTTCCCATCGGGTTTGGCTCCACGGGATGGATGTGACTGTGGGGGTGGTTGGCTTGGGTGTCCCCTGAGCTTTGCTTACGAGCCAACAATCTGGTTTGGGGAACCTGAAAGGGTTCCCAGTTAGTCCTGAGGCTGTGTGTATGCTCCCTGTGGGCTGAGCTGAGCTACAGCAGTGGCTGCACATGCACGCCCGAGCCCCCACGGCTCCTGCACACACCTCTGCAGCGGTCTTTGATCCTCTCCCACCGTCCTTCTTTACCAGCTGGAAGGCTGTGTCAGTGTTACTCTCCCCCTGCGGCGCAGGTGCTGGCCTGGTTTGAGGAAGGCGAAGAGACTGTCACCGCCTTTGTCGAGCCCTTTGTCATCCTCCTGATCCTCATTGCCAATGCCATTGTGGGGGTCTGGCAGGTGAGTGCTGATCCCCCCAAATCTGAAGCCAGTACTCCCTGCTCTCCAGGTGGAAAACAGGATGAGGGTAAAAAGGGTTGGGAGACCCAGAACTACTTGCTGGCTGTGTGACCTGACCCTAAGCAAGTTCCTCCACGCCTCTGGGCTTTGGTTTCCTCATCTATAAAATAAGCTACTAACCCTAAGCCTTTCCTATTTTTTCCTTTTGTTTTATTTTCTTTTTTTTTTTGGTACTGGGGATCGAACTTGGGTCCTTGCACTTGCGCAGCAGGCGGCGAAACCACTGAGCTAAATCCCTGGCCCACCTTTTGTTATATTTTTTGAGACAAGATCTCACTTGTAGTTTAGGCTGGCCTTGAACTCACTTCGATCCTCCTGCCTCAGCCTCCTGAGTGCTGGGATTACAGGCATGAGCCACCACGCCCGGCCAATAATCTTAATGCTATCCCTCAAACTTGTGGTGAAATTGAACAAAATGAATGTGAAAGTGCCTGACACATAGTAGGAACTCAAAAAAATGCTTTCTTGTTTTCTCTTTCTCATACCTTACCCCTCTGTACTTCCCTCCTGCTTCCTGATTTTGCTTGTTTGTGTATTGCAGTATGGGGATTGAACCCAGGACTTTTGCACTGACTTAGATCCCCAGCCCGCCCCTCCCTCCCTCCCTCTCTCTCTCTCTCTCTCTCTCTCTCTCTTCTCTCCCTGCTTCCTTCCTTCCTTCTTTTTTTG